CAAATGTGCTGGGCACCAGGACAGATATCACAAATTCTGACATTATCATGTTAATTGTTCCTGCACCCACCTAAGTATCTGTCCATCATTTTACTTTTTATACAATCCAGGGGTCCCCTCCCATCCCCTTCCACACACACCCCCCCCCCCCCACTTAACTTTCTCCCTCCTCTCTAATCTATCACCAATAGATTTCATGTAACCCGTCCATGTCCCTCCTCAGTGATTGAGCATTGACCTATGAATCAGGAGGTCATGGTTCAATTCTTGGTCAGGGCACATGCCCAGGTTGCAGGCTCAATCCCCAGTGGGGTGTGTGCAGGAGGCCATTGATCAATGATTCTCATCATTGATGTTTCTCTCCCTCCCTCTCTTTCTCTCTGAAAGCAATAAAAACATTAAAAAAAAACATTAAAAGAATTTTATGGGATAAAGTCCTGGTACTCCTATGTGAATGCTACCAATTATGGTAAATTGCTTTACATGCTTGTCCAGCTCAGGACAATGGCCCATTCCAGGAACCTGTAGTGCAAAGCAGGGGAGAGGCACTGGTTCATACCATAACAAACATCAATCAGGATCAGACAGTGCCCAAGAGGGGGGAGGGTTGTGTGAAAACAGGTTCCCCCAACTGACCCACATCCAGCCCAATGGTCAGGCAGCGGTCACATCTATTTCCATAGTAAGCAAGTGTAATAATTTTATTTTAAATTCTAAGTCGGAAGGATTCTAACACACTGGGAAAAATAAGAGTAGGACATGGTTCCTCTGTAATAAATGTTATTTCTCATTTCACTCTTACTTCTTATCGATTATTTTCACAAAGAAAAGGCTTCAGGAGAGTTTGGAAGAAGATATAAATCTGTACAGTGTAAATCCTTATAAAAACGACAACAGATTAACCACAGCAGAATCCAATTAATCTATTTTTAAAACTTTTATAAAATATTTATCTTTTAAAATTAAAGTTTACCAGTTGAAATAGATGCGTTTTTGATGGTTCTTATCTTAATCAGGTTTCTTTTGGTTTTAAAGTACAAAACCCTCTTTGGGGTAGTTGATCAAGATTAAAATGGAATTGTATTTGAAAGGACACTGCCTTCTAGTAGAGTGAAAGGGGAAACATGGACAAAGGCCCCCAGATGGGGACAACCTCTCTCTGGCAGTCTTTTGGCTCTTTCTGTGGCATGGCTCCATTCCTCTCTTTAGACCTGCTGTCTCTGGGTCAACTTAAGTCAGGCACTGATAGAGGGTCTGAGGAGGACCTGATCACACCATGTAAAAATGGATGTCAGATGCTTCATCTTGGAGATGGAAGAAAAAGTTCTCAGAGAAGAGTAAATGGATATTGGGCTATAAGGATAAGTGAAAAGGGTCTGCTAGAGACTAACCTGCTTTGAAATTAAGTCTGAGTCTTTTTTACTTAAAGAACATCATGCATGGTAAGTTGTAATTTCTGTTCCCATTGGATTTGGTCAGATACAATCTCTATGCTGTAAAAATGTACAATTATTGTGATGCTCTAGAACACATGTGTCAAACACAAGGCCCGCGGGCCAAATCCGTCCCGCCAGGCCTTGCAATGTGGCCTGCACCGTGCTGTCATCACTGCACTCCGCTGCGTTTCCATCACAATGACAGTTTATGACTGTTCAGTAAACCATTCGGCCCGCGATTTAGGCTGGATTTTAGATTTTGGCCCCTTCTCTGATTGAGTTCGACACCCCTACTCTAGAAAGAGTATACGTCCTATCATGTTCCAAACAATACAAAGGAAATACATTATTACATAAAAAACTAGAGGCCTGGTGCATGAAATTCATGCATGGGCAGGTTCCCTAGTCTGTAATCAAGGCCGATCTTTCCCAGCTGCCGGCAGCTGTCCCGCTCCCCTGCTGCCGCCCCAGTTGTGTGTGGGGCAACTGGCAGGGTGATCAGGGTCCTGCTTGCTTACACCTGCCTTGGCCTGGCGCTGCTTGTGTCTGCTGCCACCTACCCTCAGTTCCCCATTCCTCATTGGGCAATTGGAACCTGTTAGCGGGGGAGGGATGCAGAGATTGGCCAGCAGGTCCCCATAGGGCCATCAGGGCCTGTAGGCTGGGGGCAGCTCCTGCATCTAGTGTCTGCCCCCTGGTGGTCATTGTGCTTCATATTGAGTGGTCATTTCACCATCTGGTCAATTTGTATATTATGCTTTTATATACATGTATATAGATTTTAAATGATTTTTATTTTTAAGAAACTTACCTATATATTTTTTACATTATAATTTAAAAATGAATAATTCCATTATGTTTTGTTTGCAGGTCATGCCTTGACTGCATTGGTAAAAATGCTATAATTTTAGAAAGTCAAATATCTTTATTACCTTCTAAACTTCTTCAACAAGTACTAAAAAAAATCACATTTTGGACTGCAGCTAACCACCGAGAAGAACAAAGAGCCCCAAAAGGAGAAATTGAAAATAAGTATCAGTGGATCGGTAACAATTAAGTTGTTATATACTCTGTATGTTTAATATGTTTAATGTTTTAATCAGACTGTATATTTACTCCCCAAATTGGAGGCTTTATTTAGAAGATAAAATTGAAGCAAAAATGCTATGTTAGTGATTACATAGAATGGGATATGTGGGAATGAGATGCTAAAGGCAGATTAATTTATATTTCTAAAATAATTTCCTTATAAGCTACAAAGATGTGCTTTCTGAAAGTAATTATAATTGTGGGCAATTTTAACTCACTGTGTACTCATTGCTGGAAAGATTATGCAAATTTGAGGAAAATAAGAAATTAACCAAGGACTTTAGAAATCCCTCAATATAATGGCACATTATTACATATCAACTTTTGGATGGAATAGATTCTCTCAAGTCACTATAAAATCACCTAAATCTCCTTTTAAACAATTCAGTTATTTAAATAACATCATCTTAAATTACTAATATAGCTGGCCAAAATTATAAAGTAGACAAACACTGGTATGGTGTTAAATGCGGACCCCCACCCTTTTAGCACTCATCTCATAAAGAATTCTTAAGCATCATTGTAACTTTCCTTTTTCTTGTCATAAGTTTTCCTCAAATCTTTGTTTGAGTAGGGGAATAAATGCATTCAATTGCTTCTTTACCCCTACGCTGTTGGTTTGTCCAATTTTTTATCTACAAAGACCATATTTTAAAGTGTCGATTTATTTGTCATCCAGGCTCTGAAATATTGAGAAGCAGTATAATTATTAAGTTTTGAGGCACATTAAAATATGTTTGCCTTGGAAGAGTGCATCTGAAGTGATTTTCATAAATAATGAAATGGAATGATAATTTAGTAAGTTGCCTTTATTGAAACCCCTCAGTTTGGCCCACACCATTCTACAACGCTGGTGCTTAAGGATATTGTAAATATGTTATCTTCTCATTTATTTTCAGTATTAACTGCTTATACAGAAATAAACACTGTAACTTACATTCCTTAAAAGAGTACTTTTACCATAATTAAGAAATTGTTCATATTACAGTTATACTCTTCCAATGAATTACTAATAACAATGTATTACTCAAAGATTTGGTTATAAAATTACTCTCCACAATACCATCATAGGAGTTATTTCTAAATTCAAAATGTTACAGCAAATATATTTCTCTATTGAAATATATAATATGTAATTTGTAGTACCTCATTACATTTTAGATATATATATATATTTATATATATTGTATTTTGATGTGTAAAGCTTCTATTTATGTATTGAAATAGTGTGTATTTACATTTTATTTATTATACGAACTATGTAAATTTACTATTTTTCCAGTTTTGTTCCTGTGAACCAGTCATTAGAGTTGATTGTATAAACAATATTTCAGTGTAAGTTTTCATTTTTTATTACTATTTTTAGACTAAATAAAATTTAGAAAATGAATCTCACAGGCAATATATATCTTATAAGTAATTATTTTATTATAATGAGCTTCAGTATCAGCCTTTCACATTTAAGGGGAAAATATTAAAACCTTTTGGATAGTGGTAGATGACCTATTGGATGAGTGGGATGAATACTTTTTAAAATAGCTTCTGGATTATATGAATGCCTTCTCTAGAAAAGCACTTCTGTTTTTAGATGGTTTACTTAGAGCATTAAAAGTTGGATCAGCCCCTCAAATACACACCAACATGTAGGCTTCAAGAGAATGAAAATCTATATATTATCTATGGCACATAAATAGTGCTATATTTATTTGATCTATTATAATGTACTACTTCAAAAAGTATATGTCTTGAGGTAGGCCCATAGTGAGAGTGGCAGGGAATTCTGATCTTTCATTTGTCTCTATAACTTGCCTTAAAACAAGGTTCTGCTATTGGCAGATATAGAGGGTCTGGGAGTTGGCAAAGCCAGTTTTGAAGTTTGATAGCCAAGCAGTATTCATTCCTCACTTTTCAAAAGCTGATGGTATACCATCAAATTTTGTGCTGTTGACTTCCACAGTATAATATATAGGAGCCCAAGGCAATGACAGCTTCAGCTTCATCACATTAGCTCTGAACTCTCCCTATGGGCTCTCAGTTTGAAAGAAGATTCTAGCCCACTGGTTGCTCTGAAAAGCCTTCTTTGCATTGTTCTGGCGGCTCCCTTTCCACTCCACCAGATGGGGAAAATAAGACATTTGTGGGGGCCTAGCAATCTGAATCTGTGTCAGTCACCTAATGTACATTCTTGATAGCCTATAATTAAGTCACTGCCCCTTTCTTCACAATCTGGTCTTGCAAAACCTGTTTACCTAAGCACTCCCATTTTACAGAGGTTCTAAACCATGAACAATACACAACCCCCCGCCTGGCACCAGGCCAGGCCTGTAGGTGTGGTCTCACGGCCCCCAAGCCAACACATGGGGCTTTTTGCAAAGCCCCTGAAAGATCCGGAAGTCCGATCCATATTTGGGGGACAAAGAAACCAAAGGGTATAAAGAGAAAAAGCTTCCTCCATATTGGCTTGCTCAGGATTTGGAAACCGGCTCCCCTGAGTCACGGTACTAGTACATGTGAAACAACTGGAAATACATGGGTTTCTCCTGTATCTCGGGGTACTCCTGTGTATTTTCCAGTCACCTGGTAAATTCTGTAACATAAAAATGATTCACTCGCTGCAACCACCTCTGCCACTGCAGCTTCTTCTCCAGGCTCCTCCAATTCTCGCTTTAAAAAAAAATCCGCTGCACAGGATCACCAGTGTGCCCCACCATGGCGACACTGCCCTGGACACCAGCTCTGAGATCACCACCGAGGACTTAAAGGAGAAGAAGGAAGTGTGGAGGAGGCAGAGTACAGAAACAATGCACCTGTGAATGGGAACGCTAATGTGGAAAATGGGGAGCAGGAGGCTGACCATGAGGTAGATGAAGAAGGAGGGAGGAAGAGGAGGAGGCAGGTGATGGTGAGGAAGAGGATGGAGATGAAGATGAGGAGGTTGAGGCAGCTACAGGCAAATGGGCAGCTGCAGATGATAAGGATGACGATGTTGACACCAAGAAGCAGAAGACCGATGAGGATGAGCAAAAACAGGAAAAGATAAAAGGCCTCTGTGACCTATTCACCCTCCACTTCCCCTCTCAGACTCTAACGCGGTCACTCACCTTCCAACGCCACCTGCAGATGACACGCACCCGCCACCACCCAACCAAAACCACAGGTGAGTTTGCAGCAGGGGAGGAGAAAAGAACCAAAACCTCCAAGGCCTTGCTTTTTTCTTAAAAGTACTTTTAGAAAGGGAAATTTGTATTTTTTATTTACATTTTATATTTTTGCACGTATTGTTGGGGCCAGCCATTTCTAATGATTTTGGGATGACCAAACCAGCCTTGGGAGCATTCTCTGTCCTACTTCTGACTTTACTTGTGGTATGACCATGCTCATTATAATCTCAAAGGAGAAAAAAAAAAAACCTTGTAAAAAAGCAAAAACAACCACAAAAAAAATCTTATTCTGAGCATTCCAGTAGCTTTTTGTGTATGTACTTAGCTGTACATAAGTAGTTGGTTTGTATGAGATGGTTTAAAAGGCCAAAGCCGAAACTGGTTTGGCTCAGTGGATAGAGCGTCAGCCTGTGGACTGAAAAGTCCCGGGTTCAATTCCGGTCAAGGGCATGTGCCTAGGTTGTGGGCACATCCCCAGTGGGAGGTGTGTAAGAGGCAGCTGATAGATGATTCTCTCTCATCGATGTTTCTTTTTTTTTTTTTTTTTTTAAATATATTTTATTGATTTTGTACAGAGAGGAAGGGAGAGAAATAGAGAGTTAGAAACATCGATGAGGGAGAGTAATCGATCAGCTGCCTCTTGCACACCCCCCACTGGGGATATGCCCGCAACCAAGGTACATGCCCCTGACCGGAATCGAACCCGGGACCCTTCAGTCCCCAAGCCGACGCTCTATCCATTGAGCCAAACCGGTCCCGGCTCATCGATGTTTCTAACTATCCCTCTCCTTTCCTCTCTGTAAAAAATCAATAAAATATATTAAAAAATAAATAAATAAAAGGCCAAAGATAAAAAGGTTTCTTTCCCCCCCTTTTTTTTGTTTATGAAATTGCTGTTTGTTTATTTATTTTGGCCTGTTTGATCTATGTGTGAAACAATGTTGTTCAACAATAAATGGGGATTTTATTTTACTGAGTTGTTCTAACAACAAAAAAAAACAAAAACAAAAACAAAAAAGAAGGAAGGAAGGAAGGAAGGAAGGAAGGACGGACGGACGGACGGAAGGAAGGAAGGAAGGAAGGAAGGAAGGAAAGAAAAGCAACCAAGCAAGAAAGAAGATTCTAAAAGGTTTTGTTCTGGTGATTCATAAAATAGGTCTCCAGTCTGGTTCTCAAGGAAAAAGAATTTCTGGCCATCTTTATGATGTCTCTCAGGATATTCTTCCAGTTCTCAAAAAGGGCTCTTTTTAGTATTATCTTTTTTAGTATGATACAGTAAATAGCACATCAAAACTAGTGTACATTTTTTCAAAATAGTATTTTTGCACATTAAAAAAAAAATTAACCTTTTGATAGAAGCCTAAAATATTCTTTATAACTTCATGCTGCCATGAAGTGATGTTCTCACCAATTCAGTATTTGTATGTATGTGTGTGTGTGTGAGAGGAAATAAGCACACTACGCATACTTTTCAGGGTAGTATATACCAGCGTTTTTCAACCGCTGTTCCGCGGCACACTAGTGTGCCGCGAGATGTTGCCTGGTGTGCCGTAGGTGCAGACAAGACAAGAATTTTATAATTTTTCACTATTTTGTTTACTTAATATTTCATAATAAAGTAATTATAAAATACTTTCTTTGTGTTTATTTGATTCCTATTCAAGAGAATTACTTTATATATAGTCAATATAGGCACAGAGTTAAATTTTTTAACATTTTCTAATGGTGGTGTGCCTCGTGATTTTTTTCATGAAACAAGTGTGCCTTTGCCCAAAAAAGGTTGAAAAACACTGGTATATACTGACAACTTAGAATTTTGATTTTTAGAACATTTTTAAAGGAAAAGCAGCAATTTTAAGAAACAAATAATGCTCCCTGTGCACCTTTTTTGGTGAGTTTTCCCAATGTATTAATGTCATTCTATTGGAATTTTCAAAGAAATATTGGAAATAATTATTCGAAGTGTGTATACATTTTGGGGGGACACCCTATATATTTGCCTTTAGGCACTGCTATCACAAATTCTGCTAAGTCGTTACCGACAGGCAGTGGCTAGGGAAGGAGTTTCAGGCTATGAAAGTTAAGCCCTGGCCTGTACAGAGTATTCCTTCTAGTGATTCCTTCTAGGGAAGATGGGAAGAGATGATAATCAAGTACATTCCCCTCACCAAACTCATCCAAACACTGAGGCACCGTTAGATAAGGGATTTAGGTGTATTCTAGTCCAGTCCTATTTTAGTTTAGATTATAATAATTCTGGACTTGCTCTTGACCTAATTACAATATAAAATTGCTCCACCTAATTTAAATATAAAACCGTGTCAGTGTGTGTTTACTTGATTCGCCTGAATGGCTGGGCAGTGGTGGGTTTTGAAACGCTTTTCGAGTGATTTTTCAAACTAAAGATCTCTGCTGAAGCCCCCTTGGCCAGTTGGCGCAGTGGATGGCGCGTGGCCTGTGGGCCTGAGGGCCCGGTTCCATCCGGTCAGGGCCCTGGAGAGGCTGGGCCACTCACCCCCTCAGGCTGCAGCCTCGGGGGGTTCCGAGGAGAAAAGTGGGAGAAGCCCGGCCCAGCGCTAGGCGCGCGGGCTCCCGGGCCGGCTGGGGCCCCGGGCGCGGCGGCCGCGGCGAAACGGGCGGTTCCGGTGGCGGCGGCCGGGCCCGGCGGGGCGGGGCGGGCGGGGCGGGGCGGGGCGCCCGGGAGGCGGCCGGGCCCGGCGCCCCTCCCGCCGCCCCGCCCGCCCGCGCCCCGCTGCCAGGGCCGCCTCCGAGGGGCCGCGGACAGAGCGCAGCGGCGAGGGGCGGCCTCTGCGCTGTCCCCGTGGCCGCGGCTCCTGCTGCTCCCGCTCCTTTGTCCGTCCGCTCGCCGCGGGGGCTGCTGGTGAGCGCCGTGCAGCCTCAAGATGGCTGATGGCAACGACGACCCGGAGGGCTCGCCGGGCCCGGCCCACGAGGGCTGCGAGGCCGCGGAGCTCGCCTGCCCCGCCGAGCGCAGCGGCCACGTAGCCGTGGGCGACGGGCGCCGCATGTTCGTCTGGGGCGGCTACAAGGTCAGTGGGCCCGCGCCCGGCTCCGCGCCCCGCCCCGCCCCGCGTTAGGCCCGCGAGCGGGACTCCGAACCCGGTTCCCGGGCTCCGGGCTGTGGTCGCGCCGCCCGCGCCCCCCGCGCCCCGCGGGCGAGGCTGTTGACCCGGAGCGTTGGGGGAGGGGGCGCCGGGGGCCTGGCCGTGTTTCCATGTAAAAGCTGGGGTGTGAGAGCCGGCGGCGTGCGGAACCGAGGCCTTGGCCCCCGGCCCCGCTGGCCGCTGACGCGGGGGCTGGGGTGCAGGCCCCCGGGGCCGGCGAGGCCGCAGGAGCAGCGCCCCGGCCCCGCACCTCTGCGGGCCGCTCCCTGTTCCAGCTTTTCAGGGTGGGTTCCCGCTGAGACAGGGCTGGTATTTTTCAGGAAAAAAAAAAAATTAAGAAAATTAATGAAACGCTCCACCAGTAACCAAAAGTATCAACAGCTGCTTGATCCTGAGGATAAACAATGTAATTAGTTGCCGGTGGCGCTTCTTTCTACCTTCTCTGGGGACTCCTCCCACCTCAGCCTGCCCGCTGGGTCTCCTCTTTGCTCTTAGAACCTCCCTGTAACAGTCCGCGTTCCAGAACCGGGCTTCTGTTCAGTTGGCCCCAGTGCGTCCCCCCCAAAGGCATTCTTTTTAGCCCCTTTTTTTGTCTTGGCCCCGGCGCGTGCGGCTCCGATGGGCATCCTCTCCTGCACCGAAAGTCGCTGGTTCCATTCCAGGTCATGGCACTTGCCCAGGTTTCAGGTTCGGTACCTGGTTGGGGTGCTTATGGGAGAACACCAATCCGTGTCTCTCACTTGGATACTTCTCTCTCCCTTCCGCTCTCTAAAAATCAATGAAAACATATTGGGGGAAAAATGATCTCTCTCCCCCATTTGTTTGAAATCTAGTCCCCTACACCTGTTCCTTTGATGACTTGTTTTGTGACTCTGGCAGTAAATTTCAGTTCATGGTAGTTAATCTGATTATAGAATCCTTTAAAATTCTGTCTGTAAAAATCAGCATTGAGGGAATGGGACTTTCTTTGGGCGTGGGGAGGTGTGGTGGAGTCAGGGTGGAATATTTCTAATGCTGTTTTTGAGGTACTGGATGCTGAGGGCTGAGGCAGGGTGAGGCATAGCAGTGAACTAGGTGGGTGGTTAAAGACAGGCTATCCACACATTGGCCAGAGCCCTGAGGGTCGGCACAGGCAGCCTTGGAGATGGTTCTGAAGGCAGCAAACCCTAGCTTCTCACACAGTGGTCAGTTTCCCTCTATGCCAGGCTCATCTCCTCAGGTCAGCCTCCTGTCTCCTAGCCTTTCCCTTTGCAAGTGGTGGAGTGAAAAGCAAAAGGTTCACATTGCTGGGTGCTCTATTTCCGTATAATACTCAAGCTTAGTGGTCTGGGACTCCCCTTCTCAGTGAACTGCAGTTGTTGACTGTGGACATTGCTCAGAAAGTGGCCAGCAAGGCTCAGAGGCTCGCTGACAGCAGTTGAAGTTGCAAATTCCGGGAAAGAAGGCTGAAATCCTGGTTCTATTACACGCCAGGCACCTTCTACAGATCATCTCTAAACCTGTTTTCTTGAAATACCAACTACCTTTAAGGGTGGTTGTGAGTGTTAAGCAATCCATGGGTAGCACTCATCTAGCTCTAAGAGTATGTGGTACACACAGTCTGTTAAAAATTTTACCTGAAGGAAATGGAGCAGAACAAGGAACTTGAAATATTGCATAAAGACTTAATGTTTGCGTATTTGCAGTGCTACCCTCTCTGCATTTTGGTAGAGAATGAATGGGTTAAAGGAAACAATGGCTGGAAACCTGTACACCACGTGCCAGTGTGGGTGAAGGGCTAAAGGTAGACTTCTTTAGTCTGCCGACCACTGCATAGGGACACTCTTCTGAAGCCATGCGACTGACGTTTGGTGCCTGGTCTGTTCAGGATCAAGTGGCCTTGGAGATTTCCTGGTGACCTCTTAACTTCCTGCACCACTGCACCCACACCAGGAGAGCTGCTCTGGAAATAAGAGCTGTCTATAGTAAGCATTACTTGGAGTATGTAGCATGGAGTAGGGAGGACTGTGCATTTGATGGATTTGTTGGACCTATTTAATTTTCCATAATTCTCAGTATCTCAAGACAGATATGAAAAAACATACAATAGTGCCTCTTTAGAATACTAATTATTTTTTTATATTTTCAATTTTTTCTTTTTGTTTCTTAGAGTAACCAAGTCAGAGGATTATATGACTTTTATCTCCCTAGAGAAGAACTATGGATTTATAACATGGAGACTGGAAGATGGTAATTGGATTTATAAGAGGGACTAAAACATTCAAATAATGTTGCAAACAAAAAGAAACTCCGTAAAGATGTTAAGCTATATGTTCTGAAAAGTGTTGTGCTAGTTTGGTCTAGCTGCTAAGCTTACTCTTTAGCGTCTCTTCAGAAATATCAGTAATTACTAGATTTTTTTTTATGATCCTTGGAGAAATTTCTATTCAGGACTCTATAAAATATCATAGTGTTATTTTTTACTTTTATTTTTTTAAATATATTTTATTGATTTTGTACAGAGAGGAAGGGAGAGAGATAGTTAGAAACATCGATGAGAGAGAGTCATCGATCAGCTGCCTCTTGCACACCCCCTACTGGGGATATGCCCGCAGCCAAGGTACATGCCCTTGACCAGGGATCGAACCCAGGACCTTTCAGTCCCCAAGCCGACGCCCTATCCATTGAGCCAAACCGGTTTCGGCTCATAGTGTTATTAAAATAGAGGTAGAGGCTTCAGATCCTGGAATGGAAATATAACAAAAATTCCAAATATGTATTTTTCAAGATTATGTCGTTATGTGGCATAGATTGTATGTTCTAGAAATAAAGATGGTATTTTATTTTAATGAGTTCTAACATTAAGATCTCCATGAAATAGTGTGTTTTGTTTAAAAACAAACCACCCTAAATTTGCCTTCCTGGGAGCCATGCTGAAAGGGTCTTTTGCTAGTCTCATGACCCGAGTGGGACTCGTATGTCTGTGGCAGGGTTAGTCGTGTTTGAGGATTTATGAAGTAGTCTTCCTCCTCGGTTTGCATTGTGAGAACTTTGTGCTTCACATATATTACATATTATAGATCTCAGAACTGGAATAGTACTCCCACTGGATTTAACAGTTAAACTAAGCATGTTAGGATTCTTCTGTATATAGTAAATCAGTGTTTTCTGAGTTGTCTGCCCATCTTTTCCTAGATAATTGGAAATATGTAATAGTATCCCTGTAATATGAAATTCTACATATTTTTAAAAATCAGCCCCACAGCCCTAGTCCTGTGGTCAGCAAACTGCGGCACGCGAGCCACATGTGGCTCTTTGGCCCCTTGAGTGTGGCTCTTCCACAAAATACCACCTCCTGGGCGAGTCTATTTTGAAGAAGTGGCGTTAGAAGTTTTAGTTTAAAAAATTTGGTTCTCAAAAGAAATTTCAATAGTCATACTGTTGATATTTGGCTCTGTAGACTAATGTGTTTGCCAACCACTGCCCTAGCCGGTTTGGCTCAGGGATACAGCCTCAGCCTGGGGACTCAAGGGTCCCAGGTTCAATTCCAGTCAAGGGCCTGTACCTCGGTTGCAGGAGCCTGGTGGGCTCATGCAGGAGGCAGCCAATTGGTGTGTTTCTCTCACATCGATATTTCTGTCTTTCCTGCTCTCTAAAAAGTCAATGGAAAAATATCCTCATGTGAGGAATAAAATATAAATGAATAATAAAAATAATAAATCAGCCCCATAATTAAAAAAATATGCCTATTAAAACGTAAAACCTTATTATAAAATGATTTGTGAGAAGACCTTGAGTAACTTATTAATATTCTAAATCTTCTATTTCTTAATCAGTTTGATTCAGCTTCATTTTTAGATTCAGAATGTGTCTAAGTATGTAAAGCTCTGGGAGCAGTGCCTGACTGACAATAAGGACTACACAAGTGTCAGGAGTATCACATACAGTCTGAATCAGATTCATTTGAATGGCTAACGGTGACCGAATAAGAAACACCTACTGAATTAATCTGTCAGGACTGGGACATTGTTTGCCTGACCCACTCAAAAACAAAAACAAAACAACCACTTTATGGCCATGTAAATAAAAAGCAAACAATTTAGTTTAAAAAACCTAAAATGGTGTGCATCTGGAGTAATGTGACAGCTTTAGGAGCTCTCATTCTGCCTCTGCAGGACCAGCTGGCAAAGCTGTAGAATGAAGAGGAAAGAGCTCTTTCTTTGAATTGGTTTTACAGCTAGATGAGACCCTAGACACGATCTAGTCAGTCCCTTTATTGTGGGAATAGAAGTAGAAGAAATAGAAAAATATTTTTGCATTTCTCTTTTGGGAGGCTTATTTACATTGCTTTCCCCTCAGGAAAAAAATGAACGCTGAAGGTGATGTTCCTCCTTCCATGTCAGGAAGCTGTGCTGTGTATGCAGACAGGGCGCTGTACTTGTTTGGAGGACACCATTCTCGAGGCAACACGAATAAGGTTAGTGTTTCCAAGGGTTACGGTTCAAGGCAGTTTTATTCTTCTTTTTAGACAACTTTAGATGTCTATGGTTAGCTCATAGTATTCCCGTCCCAGTTAAAAAATACATGTACTTGATTGTTGTATAAATGTGCATTTCAGTATTTTGCCTACCAGTTTGTATTTATCTAGGCCTTTTATAAAATCAACTTGGTGGGTAACTTGTGTGCAGTAACTTCCTATGTTGTTTTTCTTTGTGTTCTTTGCAGCTACTTGTTCTTTTAGCAACCTGGAGTGTTAGATGAATAACAGTAAATTAGATGAAAACGAGGTAATCAAGGGGGCAGGGTAAAATTAACAGGCCACCACTCAGAAAGCCATAAGGATAAATTACACTGACAAAATAGTGCATACTAACATTTCTATGATCTGGCCCCATGAGATACTGTCATTCAGACTTGGTTCATGTTTTACCCAAATAGGAAAAAGATGATCAGTTGTTCTCTCAGGCCACTAGACAGATGAAATCAGAAAGGTGTATATGATCTAGGTAGAGTCATAAATTCATTTATTTGGCAATTTTGTGGGCACCTTCTATGTTGAGCACTTGGTTAGACATTGGAGACTCAGAGATGAATGAGTCTACGCCTCCTGGAGCTCATTCTAGAAGGGACACATATAACAGGTAAATGATTTCAGTAGCATATGGTACAGAGATACACAGAGCCTGGCTGTTGTAACATAGTTCAGTAAATATCTTTGAATTTGAAAAAGACTCCTTGACATTGTGTTTGGTAGGAAAGTGATGCTTGAATTGGATAATACAATTCGAAGGGGGAGCCAAAATATAGGTATCAAGATGCAGAAGTGCATACAAATACATTGTTCATGGAAATATAGGTGGAGCATATGGCTGAGATGGTTTCAGACTACTCCTAGGACTTCCCGGGCATCTGTGAGAGAGCATGATGGTATTAGGTGGCTCCAGACCACCCCTTCCACTACCATTTTAACAGGAGTAGCACCATTTCTGTTTTTATATTTTAGGCTTTTACTTAAAGATTTTGTTTAAAGAAAGGGTTCTGAAGCACAGCTATAGGCTGTAGTTGAACCATGTATTTTTTAGGGCCAAGGAGAAAAATAATTTTGCACAACATGAGGAAGCTTGGGAAAGAGAGCTTGGTTTTCAGAGAAATTGTAGTCACTAGTATATCAAGTGACTTGGGAGTCATAAGTAAAAAGAACAAAAACAAAAAACATATATATGTCAGATTTATTCAAGCACCTGGATGTGAACCCTTAAAGGTGCTTTATCTTTTAAGATTTGTCCTTAGCTCCTAGAGTTAACTAGGCACATAAGACGTGTTTGTTAAGTTGAATTTAGAGTGCAATTGCTAAGTCTGATTTTTTTTTTTTTATAATACCATCCTGATATCCATAAATTAGATCAGTAAACTCTTAAGTGCCTATCTAAAGCACAGAATGTAAACCAATATATTCTATTCCTTCACCAAAAAAGTGTGGCTGTGGGGGAAAAAAAAACATTAGCTGAATTAAATAGGATGCCTAGTGACTTAGGTAACATATTCTGGACTCAAGAAGTTTGTAGTCATGTATGTAGTATATTGAATTAGATGACATTCTTATTATAAACCACAGCAAAATAAAATACCAAGGTTGAATTTCTTTCACATAACTAAATCTAACTGAAACCATTGCTTTTGACAGTTCTACATGCTGGATTTAAGGTCTACAGACAGAGTATTACAATGGGAAAGAATTGATTGCCAAGGAATTCCTCCGTCGTCAAAGGATAAACTTGGTGTCTGGGTATATAAAAACAGGTAAGTTAGCAGCAGCACTACAGGTTTGATGTTTTATGTGGAAAATGGTTTGCCTTCAAGTATCTTTAGCTAATAACCTTTGTAACCGTAGAATGAAAGAGGATTAAGTGAATTAATACATCAAAGCACTTAACATAGCCCTGAGACATATAGCCATTATTGTATTATTGTGCCTTTGCAATTCATGTAACAAAGAAGAAAAATCTCTTGTATGCTGATTTGCCTATCTGAATTTTAATGTCTTAAGTTTTTGTTTTAATATAATAGGTTAATATTTTTTGGAGGGTATGGATATTTACCTGAAGATAAAGTATTGGGAACTTTTGAATTTGATGAAACATCTTTTTGGGTAAGTGAAGTTTCATATTTGCAAATGGCCTACTTAGTATGTTGAAATAATACATTTTGTTTGGTAGTAGTTTTGTTCATTTTATTAATAATTAATAAATCAGACCAAGGCTATATAATTTTGCAAACACTTTTTGTAAAGTAACTGTAAAATAACTATTTTCTGTAGAATTCAAGTCACCCAAGAGGATGGAATGATCATGTACATATTTTAGACACTGAAACATTTATCTGGAGTCAGCCTATAACTACTGTGAGTACTGAAGAAGAATGGGTATTAAAGCATGACTATTTAGAGAAGGGAAGTTGGGAGGTGGTGTTAATATTGATAGTTCATTTTTCTTATTTTCTGGAGAAGGGCCATGGCTTTCATAATTCTTCAAGCACGCTAGAACTCAGAAAAGTTTAATGAATGTGTAGAACAACCCAGCATCTAATATCTAATAGATACTGAGTGCTATTGTTTGTAATAAATGACCTAGCACTTCTCAGAATTTAAGTTCCTCAAATATCAGTTTCTTTCTCCTCTGATAAAGATGTCATATAATATGCTAGCTTTTAGATAAAAATAAAACAAGCATTCTATTTATTAACTAGCCCATTTAGTAATATACCTCAAAATATAAAATTAAAATTCCCAGTTTTACTAGTCTGCGTTAGTACTGCTATTGACTAAAAGTCTATACTTCAGCTTGAAAGCTCAAGTGTCTGCATATTTTTATGTGGAAAGTGGTTTGTCATTCAAATATCCTCAGCCCAAACCATTGTAACCGTAGAACATATAAGAATTAAATGACTTAATACTACAAAGCACCTAACATAGAACCTGAGACATATTAGCCATTATTATATGAGTATATTCGAGTTCTGAAGACTGGTATTTATAAAACATTCACTTGCTTATTAAATTGCTTTGATAACTAACAGGGTAAAGCACCTTCACCTCGCGCTGCCCACGCCTGCGCAACAGTTGGAAACAAGGGCTTTGTGTTCGGAGGCAGATACCGGGTGAGTATATAAACAGTTTCAATGACTTGCTTTGAATTATTCAAAATGGTAACTATTTAATTATCCTTTTGTAGGATGCTAGAATGAATGATCTTCACTATCTTAATCTGGATACATGGGAGTGGAATGAATTGTAGGTATCACGTTAGATAATTATTTAGAAAAGTTTTTCAAAAAATTTCAGTGGCTTTTTCCCTTTTCTCTATTATTAGTATAAAAGATACTTGCTTAAATTTTCTGTATTTCCAGTTCCCATTAACTGTGTGCCTGGCATATAGTATGTGCTCAATGTTTGTTGTAAAGAAAAGGTCTAAAGTTGACCATCAAAGAAAATAAAAATAGTTCATTCTAAAGCATGAAGTTAATACCAGAAAGCCTTTTTAAATTTCAAGTCACTTTTTTCTTCAATCCCATATACATTTTGAAAGAAAACTTCAATATTTATTTACTTTTAGAAGTCCATATTATAACTTAGCTATTATTTTCAGAATCCCACAAGGCATGTGCCCAGTTGGCCGATCTTGGCACTCACTGACACCAGTTTCTTCAGATCATCTCTTTCTCTTTGGAGGATTTACCACTGATAAACAGCCACTAAGTAAGTTGTTTAAAAATATGAGTCCAGCCCTAGCCAGTTTGGCTCAGTGGATAGGGCCTGTGGACTGAAGGGTCCCAGGTTTGATTCTGGTCAAGAGCACATGCCTGGGTTGCTGGAGGCCCAGTAGGGAGCGTGCAGGAGGCAGCCAATCAATGATTCTTATCATTGATGTTTCTCCCTTTCTCTCTGAAATCAATAAAAATTAAAAAAGAAAAAGAAAATGAGCCCAGCTGGTATGTCTGTGGTTGAGCATTGACCCATGAACAAGGAGGTCACAGTTTGATTCCCGGTCAGTTCACATGCCCGGGTTGTGGGCTCAATCTCTAGTAGAGAGCATGCAGGAGGAATTGATGTTAATATCTCTTTCTCTCCCTCTTCCTTCCTCTCTCTGAAATCAATTTTAAAAAAATCATATTTAAAACCACCTCTCTCAACTGCCTTCTTTTAAAAAAATGATAAATTATCATTTATTTATCATATATACTTAGTTGGAAAAAATTAGTCTATTTGGATATATTAGGGCAATAAGGTCAGTTGGAAGGTCTACTATTAATTTTGACCCTATAACATAACCTTATTGTTTTCATAGTAAGACATACATCCAATTCTGTAAAGAAATTCCCTGGAATACTTAAAAGCCTTACTGAAGGACTCTAATATATAAGGGCTTACTTGTTTAATTGCAGAGGATAGAAGGAAATATACTTTCTCTTATCTACTCACAATATGATAACCTTTCTTGCTAAAGCTGTGTCCTTTAAATATCAATATCACATTGGTAGAACATACTTCATAGTTTTTTTGTTTTTCAATCAGGTGATGCCTGGACTTACTGTATCAGTAAAAATGAATGGCTACAGTTTAATCACCCCTACACTGACAAACCAAGGTATGAACTATTTAAAAGGTAATTCTGTTGCAGGCTCAGTCCCCAGTGTGAGGCATGCAGGAGGCAGCCAATCGATAGTTCTCTCTCAATGTTTCTCTCTCTTCCTGTCTGAAATTAATAAAAATATATATATTTTAAAAAAAGGTAATTGTTATACTAAATTAATGAGGTCCACAGAGGTGTATGAGACAGAATGATAAATACCCTAGCATTCACTAAGGTTTAACATAAGCCTTTTGAAAGAAAAAAACTCCCAACTCATCCTAATATCAGATGCTTTCTTTTCCATCATCTCTGAAAAACAGGACTGGATTTTGATTTTTACTTTGTCCTTTATCATAAAATTACTGATATAATTAATATTTATAATCAAGTTCTTTACCTAAGTGAACTGAACTGCTACTATTAAAAAAAAGAAGAAAGAAAAAGGAACCGGAAAGTAGAGAATTTCAAAACCTTAATTAATGTATATCAGGAAAAAAATCAAGAACATTAGATATTCAATAGCACTGCATAACAAAGAGTAAGAAGTCAAGCCATTGAAAAAGGAGTCTATTAAACACCCAGTTATGTTTGTTGTTAACCTCAGAAGAACTGTACAAAGACTGGAAAGAAATGAGAGTCAAACTAGGTGTTCAAAGCACATTAAGATATGTCAACCTGCATTTTTCCTAAGCCTCTAACCTCAGTATAGTCAGGCCACTAAGACTCCATTTGGCACAAATATTCTTTCCATAGAATCACCAGGCCTTCAGATGCTTTGTTTCCTGAGGCAGACTCAGCATCCCTCACAGGTTTTGTGTAAGGCCAGTGGGCCCTGCCTGAGAAGTGGAAGAGGGCTATGCCGCACATCTCCCACACATCTCACTGCTAACCAAGATCTAGAGAACAGTGTCAGTTCACACCCCTCACTGCAGAGTAGTCTGGACCAAAGAGGAAATGCTGACATCCAAATAAAACACTGATTTTACTAGCATTGGCTACTTTTCTTTCAGTAATTGCTTCTCACACCCTGTTGTTTTAGTCTGAACTAAAGATCTCTAGTCTTTATTTTATCAGTCTATTCTGTAGTATAAATGATCAACTTGGTGTTTTGGGTGACTGCAAACTCAAGCTTTTGTTTTGAATGTAGATTATGGCATACAGCTTGTGCCAGTGATGAAGGAGAAGTAATTGTTTTTGGTGGATGTGCCAATAACCTTCTTGTCCATCACAGAGCTGTAAGTATACTATCTATGTTAAAGGAGACTTCATAATATTGCCGAGACTTATTTGTGAAGTATTTGCTTTTTAATATTTTCTATTTTTCAGGCACACAGTAATGAAGTACTCATATTTTCAGTTCAACCAAAATCTCTTGTAAGGTAAGTAGCTTTTTACTTGAACTTTAGAGTATTTAAAATTGTGTTTCTTAACACTTTAAAATAGTGCTCTTGAAAAACAAGGTTTATGGATAATTTAAAAGGGTACTAACAAGTTTCATAGATCCAACTAACCAGTTTCTATGAAAACCTTTAAAGAAAATGGTTTCTTTTTATTTTAATAGCTCATCAAGTGAGGGTACTTCTAAACAGCAAAACGAAATTATTTTTCTCTTTCCTTGTTCTTTCAGGCTAAGCTTAGAAGCAGTCATTTGCTTTAAAGAAATGTTAGCCAACTCGTGGAACTGCCTTCCAAAACACTTACTTCACAGTGTTCATCAGAGGTTTGGTAGTAACAACACTTCTGGGTCTTAGGTTTCATAGATCATGCCTGCACACCTTGCATGGACAGCAATTCTGTGAACATCAGAGTGGCATCATTTGTATAGTTATATGCATTGTGTAGTTTTGCAGCTTTTTGGTTTTAATGTGCATGTGAATGGCCCAAAGAACCTATTTTTGTGTCTAAAGTTTACAATAAATGTATTTAACACCGGTAAAAATGTCTTCTGTTAAAACAAAGGAAAATTAATTCTTGGGCTTTACTCCAAGGAATGGTAGTTATATTTCATTTTTGATAACTTCAAGATTTCTTTCGGTAGAAACATTCTTACCACTTAAA